TAAAACATATAAAGAAAATTTATTTAACAAACAAGTTTTTAATTATAATCTGGACAAAATTACCTCAAGGGAAGTAACCGTGCAAAAATACAAAAAACATGTCCATATATTGCATATTTCTAAAGTATATGAACTTATACAGACTTAATTGTAATTTATCACTCTCTCGTGGTCTTAAGACGGATTGGGTGAATCGAAGACGGAGTAAGAGAGGCATTAGCCTACTCTTTTTTTTTTATGTCCAACTGTTTTTCACAACCCAGGTGTCATAAGGGTCAGTCGGATCTCGTTTTTATTCTCTGATCCGGACGATTTTTTGGCCCTTCACACCGCATTACTGACATAGGTAACCTAGTTGAGCTTTTGAAAAGCCAAAAGGCTATCATATTTTACTCAGACCCTGACGAAAGCTGTTTCTGAGTTTTGCTGTGCATGTGCGGTTGGATGACATCTTTAAGTCAGAGCTGAATGAGAGTCAAGGCATTACTCTAATGTTATGCTGTGGTTTTGCAAATTAGGGTACAAGACGGGCCCGAGAACCTGGTCGATGTATTGGGTGATTCTAACTCTATGGCCTCTGCATGAGCCAATAATGCTTGCTATTCCCACGTTTCTCTTTCAACCACACGTTGTTCATTAAAACATTCACACCTTGTGAATGCAGTACCGACCCTCATCTGAGAACACATAGGTCCTCGACCGCTGATGCCGCCAATGTTGTTGTTGGGCGACCCAATCAAGGCGTTGCTGACGTTAACGAGGAGTGAGCAATGAACTCCTGTATGAACGGCGACACTGAAAGGCGGAGACAACCGCTGAGGCTGAATTCAAATTTTGACTACTCTGTGGTTGTGTCATAGTAGCAAGCTACCACTAAAATCATACTAATGACTAACTAATTTTGACATAAATAAGCTTATCTATATCTAACCCTAGCCTAGGCCAGTGCTTTCATTGAGACTCGTCTTGATATCCTAACACATATTTTAGAGAAAAGAGGGAGACATTTAGATTTGCTGAAAATAAAGTGGGGTTACAATTGGGGATGCAAACCACTGGCGCCACCACTGCAATGATTCTTAAACCACGACAGGATAATGAGCGCTAAAATATATATATATATTATGAATAAAAATTTGTTTTTGATTAGTTTTTGCTTTTAAGATTATAATTTCCAGAACCGGGAAAAACAAGATTTTCATACTTTCATAATTTTAATCACAACCATTTTTATACGCTCACATGAAATGGGGGCGTATATTGTCGTCACCAAAACTTGGTATGAGTGTTCGTAATCACCCAAGATAAACCCTATTAAAAATCAGAAGAATCTAAAAATATTTAGTATGAGTTATTGCCCTTGTTCTTGAAAATTCGTTCAATTTTTATCACGTAAACACTCTCGAAGGCACAATTCTTGGCGAATTTTGATGAAACTTGGAGTGAGTGTTCGTTATCGCCCAAGGATGGATCCTATCGAAAATCAGAAAAATCGAAAAATATTTAGTATGAGTTATTGCCCTTGTTCTTGAAAACGCGTTCAATTCTTAGCTCGTAAACACTTCAGAAAGCACAATTCTTGACGGATTATGACGAACTTGGCATGAGTGTTTGTTATCACCCAAGGATAAACCCTATTGAAAATCAGAAGAATCGACAAATATTTTAGTATGAGTTATTGCCCTTGTTCTTGAAAATGCGTTCAATTTTTAGCCCGTAAACACTCTAGACGGCACAATTCTTGACGGGTTTTGACAAACCTTGGCATGAGTGTTTGTTATCACCAAAGGATAAACCCAATTTGAACAACATTTAGTATGAGTTATTTTCCCCGTTCTTGAGAACACGTTCAAGTTTTATCTCGTAAAGACTAGAAGTCATAAGTCTTGACAGATTTTGGTGTTAGGGTGTATTGAGACGAGTCTCAATGAAAGCACTGGCCTAGGTCACAGAGCAATAGATAAGTCTATTGATTATGTGAAAATTAGTTAGTCATTAGTATGATTTTAGTTGAAAAGACACAAACACAAAAATACACTGCATGTTATATAATATACTGTATATAGCCATGGCACCAGTCCTGAAATAAGTATTCCCTGAAATCTAACTCAGAAATAGATTAATTTATTGATAGAACATGATACATTTATATTAACAAATCTATGCTCCTAGGATGAATGGACATTGTTCAATGGTTCAAGTCTACCGTGAAAGAGGAAATTGCTAAGATTTTGATTTCTTTTGTAAGCTACAACCAAACGTTTTGTGTATACATGGGGAAATTTGTTCTGAAGTTCCGAGTAATGGCGTTTGACTATTATGGAGGCTTTGGTAGCTGTAGAATCAAATGTCGTA